CCCCGTCGTGCTCCGGCCCCGCGCCCCACGAAGGCCAGCCCAGCCCGGGGCGTGCGTGGGACCCACGGCACTCCCTGCGCCAGGCTCGGGGTCCGGAGCGGCCTGGTCCTCAGCCAGGGGCCTTGCCGGCGGGCGCGCGGCTTGCCAAAGGCCCGAGCCGGTCAGAGGGGTGGGGCCCGACCAGCGGGAGCGCGGTACGGTGGGTGGAGCTGACAAGTGGGCGGGGCCTGCCCGTGGGCGTGCCCAGTGGGCGGAAGTGAACGGGCGTGCTAAGCAGGCAGTGCTGACCCGTGGGCGGAGCCGTGGCAGTGGGTGGAGCTGGCCCGTGGGCAGGCTGACTGCCAGAGGTGTGGCAAGTGGGCGGGGCCTGACCAGGGGCGGGCCTGACCCAGGGGCATGGTAAGTGGGTGGAGCCAACCAGCAGGCAGGGCTTGACCACGGGCGTGACTATGGGCAGGGCCTGATAGGTGGGGCTGACCCAAATGGGTGGGGCCTGACTGGGGGCGTGGCAAGCAGGTGGGGTCTGACCAGGGGCAGGACTGACTAGGGACGCAGCAATGGGCATGGCTTGACCAGGGGCCTGAACGGGAGCGGGGGCAAGGGGCGGGGCTGAACAGGGGCTGGGGACAGATCGGGGGTGTGGCAAGTGGGTGGAGCTGGCCCATGGGCGGGCTCCGACTGGCAGAGGTGTGGCAAGTGGGCAGAGCTGACGAGTGGGTGGGGCCTGACCAGGGGGAGGGCTGACCCAGGGGCATAAGTGGGTGGAGCCAACCAGCAGGCGAGGCCTGACCAGGGGCGTGACTATGGGTGGGGTGGCCAGTGGGTTGGGCCTGACTGGGGGCATGGCAATGGGCGTGGCTTGACCAGGGGCCAGATTGGGGCAGGGCTGGACCATGGGCAGGGCCTGACCAGGGCCATGGCCGACCAGTGGGTGGGGCAGATGAGGGCATGGCAAGTGGGCATGGCTGACCAGGGGGCGTGGCCTGGCAAGCGGGTGGGTGGAGCCAACCAGTGGGTGGAGCCAGGCCCAGGTGTGGCAGTGGGCAGAGCCGGCCAGTGGGTGGGGTCTTACCACGAGCATGACGGTGGGGTGACCAGGAGCGGGGCCTGACAGGTGGGTGGGGGCCTGATTGGGAGCATGGTCTGGCTGGGGGCGTGGCAAGTGGGTGGAGCTGAGCAGTGGGTGGGGCCTGAATGGGGCGTGGCACGCAGGTGGGGCCTGGTCATGGGCGGGGCTGTTCGGGGGTGAGGCTGACTTGGGGCATGACAGCGGGCGGGGCTGACTGGAGTATGGCAAGTGGGTGGACCTGACCAGTGGGTGGGACCTGACTGGGCGTGGCAATGGACTGGGCTTACTAGTGGGCGGGACCTGGCCGGGGGCGGGGCCTGACCAGGGGAGTGGCAAGTGGGCAGGGCCTGGCCAGCAGAGGTGACATGGTGGGCGGAGCTGGCCCGTGGGCGGGGCCTGAACGGCCAGGTCATGGCATGGTTGGCAGAGCAGACCTGTGGGTGGGTCTGACCATTGGGGGCAGGGCACAGTGGAACCCCTCCCCCTGTCTCTGACCAGCTATAGGCCTTGACCCCAACTGCCACATCAGGGCCCCTCCATACCATGTCTACGTGCCCCCTCTCCGGGTTCTTGACAGTCTGGACTGAAAGGCCGTGGGGGTCACGGCTGTCAGTGCCTACCGGCTCTTCACACTGCCCTGTGGACAGGGGGACTTGGGGGTGGGTGGCGCTGCTGAGTTTGGACCTCACTCTGCCCCACATGGCTGCTGTATGCTGGGCGGCCAGGACCCTCTGCCCCTACTCCCAGCCCTAAGAACCAGGTTTTCCTTGCTCCAGCTGGAAGCAGGCTGGGCCGCACTCTGGGGGAACGCAGGCCTCCTGGAGCAGGACTCGGGGGCCTTGGGCCCCATGCAGGCCACCCTGCAGCATTGGGGCTGTTCTAACCTCCCACAAACCCTGTGACCTGCGCCAGGCAGCACGGCCACTCGGGAGTCCCAGCCGGCAGGTGGGACTCTCAGGGTCCCCCTTTTAAGCAAACGGCTTAGATGTGGAGGGAAGGCCCAGCACCGAGCTCTCAGCCAAAGGCAGGGGCACCCAAGGGAGGAGCCTGCGCACCTCCAAGGAGGAGCACGGAAATTTACTGATTTGCGTGTGTGCGCACATGCACGCGCGAGCACCTGTCTGGCTGCCCATGCATGTGGGGTGGTGGCAATGAGGGAAGGGCGGGGTGGGGGAAAGAGAGAACCCAGGAGCTCAGCAGAGGAGCCAATGCCCACCTGGACGCTCCTGCCCCACTTCCTGCCCTGCCATCCCTCTGTTCTCTCCTGGGAAGCAGGTCAGGATCCCAGGGCAGCGTTCTGAGGACTACACTGGACTCCTCTGGGGCAGGCTGATGAGAGGGGCAGCTCCTCCCACCGGCCGGCCTCCTTCAGGGCCTTGGGCCCAGCCCTTGGCTCTGCACCCGGGCACCAAGCTGCCGTGTGTGCCCGCGCAAGCGCACGCCACCAGCACCAGCCCCAGCCGGGCCTGACAGGGTTTACGGGATGGACAGATGGATGGATGGAGCGCGGGACCACGCAAAGCCAAGTCCTCCCAATCCTGGGCGGGTGGAGGAGGCGCAGCAGGTGGGGAAGCCGAGCCGACTCCCAGGGCCAGCAGCACGACTGTCCTCAGGAGGGAGAGGGGGACGGGGGGCAGGACGGCCCCCAGAGGAAGGAGGTTCAGCTCACAGAAGGGAGCAGGCAGGCTGCAAGGCCACTGCCGCTAAGAGACGTCACCCGTCAGAGGAAGGGAAGCCCCACTTGACAAGGGAACGCTTTCTCTGCTTCGATAATGTATGTATGAAGCCATCTTGAGGCGAAGAGGGAGGATTTGGGTTGTCGAAGAACCACCTGGTCTCCAGTCCTGCTCCTCCCTGTCTTGGGGTCTGCACGGGAGGAGCGGGGGGCATGGGGCAGTAGCCGCCCCCTTTTCATCCTGGACCACCTGGGTTTATGCACAGAACAAGTTTCCCAGCCCAGCCGCTGGCTCCAAGACTCAAACCTGCCTCCTCAGGACCCTTTAAACTACTCCTCTTCCTCCCCAGGGCCCCGCCGAGAGCTCAGGGCCCTGGAGCCCCCTCCCCCGGCGGCCTGGGGGCAGCAGCAGGGAAGTCACTGCAGGTTCCTCGGCGCCTAGGCTGGGTGGGCGGGTATGTGCGGAGCACCAGGCAAGATGGCACCGGAAGCGAAGCTGGGCCCCCCACCGCCCCACCCCTCCCCAGGTTCCGCCCAGCCCTGCAGCTCTGCCCGGGCCTCCCTCGCCCTCCCAGAAGCAGCCTCCCCGGGGGCCGGGTCCCCCCCTTCAGCCACACCGCCCGGGCCCTTGGGCACTCACGTCAGGGTAATAGTCCACCCTGGGGACCAGGTGCTCCATCAGGGCCTCCAGGGACCCAGAGATGAGGCGTCCCTCTTGGAAGATGAGGTCCCCGGAGGCGCCGCCGGCCCCACCTCCCCGCTCCCCCATGCCGGGCTGCGCCTGTCCGCTACAGCTGGGCCCGAGGAAGCTGGACAAGACGACGGACGTCTGGGGCATAGTTTCCTGGGAGAAAAGGAAGAGGCAGTGAGGCATCAAAGGCGCCTTCGCGGGCCTCCTCCCAGGCAGGGCTGTACGGTGAACCCCAGCAGTGCCAGCGAGGGGCACCCCAACCCCGGGGCGGGCTCCACGGTGGCCCCCAGACACTGCACACTGATCAGCGTTCCTTCAGCGCCTGCTCCCTGCACACCAGGCCTCAGTCCAGGGCCTGGGGTTCCACCCAGCGGAGAGGAGAACTACGAGGAAAAGGTGGGAGGAGGCAGAGGCGGCAGGCAGTGCGTGGTCAGGGCGGCCCCGGATGAGGTGGGGCTCGAACCGCTGGTGTTAGCCCTGCAGCTCCAGGGACGAGAAAGGAAAATCCTAGGGACAGTGGGGGACAGTGGGGGCCAAGGTCCTGACCCAGTGCGTGCGCAGGGCTGAGCAAAGAGGGCCCCGGGCACGCACACCGCGAGTGCTGCGGGCAGGGCATGGTGTGCCGCTTCTCTGAGAGATCCGGGGCCAGTCCGTGCGTCTCGCCACAGCCCAGCGAGAGACTGTCAGGTCAGGTGGTCAGGGCAGCAGGGCTGACCCCACACTGATGGACGGTCCCAGGCTGGGCAGCTGACCGGCACGAGACAGGGCATGAGGGCAGGGCTTGGGGAAAGATCTGGAACTTGCTTTTGGACTTGTGGCATCTGAATGCCCCTGAGACGCAGATGTCTGAGCAGCTGGGTAGCAGCGTGGTGGGCTTGGCACTCAGCCTGGATTGTCCACCGTGGCATGACCCACTGTGACAGGGCTCGAGGTCCCTGCCTCACATTGCAGCTGGGAGCTCTTGTGAAGTCCAGGGGAGCCCGAAACCCTCTGGGCCTCAGTTTCCCCACTGCCCCAGACAGCCAGCCACACGTGGGAAGGACCAAGTGGGAACAAGGCGATGTGGCATTTGCCAGCCAGGACCTCTGAAACTCGTGCCCGAGAGACAAGTGTGGCCTATCCTGGCCTTGGCTGGCACACTTGGCCAGTCACTCCCTTCCCACCCTCGGAGGGCAGACAGGCACAGGGCGCAGGCGGCTGGGGTCAAGAGCCGGGCCCTCCTGCCACAGTGGGGCACAGACAGTCTGGACTGCAGGCAGCCCGGCTGCTCTTGCTGGCACGTGGGTGCTCTGCTCTGGCACCGGGCTCCCAGGCACAGCCCAAAGCCACCCTGCCACGGGGCATTATTCACAAAGCAGTACCCCACAGCCCCTTGGGCTCTGTGACTCCCCGCACAGGCCACGGTGCTCAGTGCTGGCCTTCTGGACGGGCAAACCTCTGAGCCATTCTGGCCTCAGCTCCCCCACTGTGCAGAGCAAATGGTGACCGTGTTACTTCGCTGCCATGAGGGGACCACGGGCCACTGCCCTCCAGGGCCTTATGAGCAGAGAGCCGACTGCTCACACCACAGTACTTCACTGTACCTCGCACCAGGGAAGAAGGACACCCTGCCCGCATGACACTGGTCTCCTTACCACACACCTGACCGTCTCCTTGGAATTCTTAGACAATCCTTTGCTAGGAGGGCACCGACTCCAGGAGAGTCCCCAGGACGAGGTGGGGATGGGAAGTCCAGGCCTCCAGGCTCTGTGCGGCCCTCGCCCCAGGACGGGGGCGGGTGTGGTGCAGACTCACAGACCGCTCCCCCCGAAGTCGGGCGGCTGCAGCAGCCCGTGTCGGAATGCAGGTTCTTGGGCCCAGCCTGGCCTGCTGCTCAGATACCCAGGCTGGGTCCCGCTGCTATGCCCCGATAAGCCCTCAGGGGCTTCTGCCACCACTCAGGCCCAAGAACCACTGACGGGAGCAAACCCTTCGTTTTTCAGATAGTGAAACTGAGGCCCAGTGGGAAGGAACTCAACTAAGGAAATTCTAGGAGTTCCAAGTCCAGCGCAGGTGTGTCCAGCGCAGGTGTGTCCACCTCCAGGAAGCCTCCCTGGGTTAACCGTAGACTGCTGACCCACTAGGCCGCAAGTGGCTGTATCATTTGCCTTTGTGGCCTCTTGCCACTCTTGCTGGCTGAGAGTGGGGCTCAGTAACCATCTGTGCAATGAAACGATGAAGCTGGGCTCGCTGGCCCTCACCACCCTCGCAGCCACAGTGCTCAGCAGGGCCCCAGCATCTTCCCTGAGGCCCATGCACTGTGGGGCAACCTCCCCGAGGTCACACGGTTTTCTGGGTTCAGAAGGTGACTGGCAGGTGGTCACCCCAAGCTCCTGGGGTCATCAGAGATGGCATTTTCTAAGCCACTGGCCTCCCCCGCTGCAGAGGAGGAGCACGTGCTAACACCCCACTAACTCACACCGCCCTGCCGGCCCCACAGCCAGGTCCAGCCTGCAAGGGGGTCTGCCTCCTGCGGGAGGCCTGTCTGGGAGACCAGGAACCGGTGGGGGTGGCAGGGAGCCAGCACGGGGACTCAGCCCACTTGTCGGCTGCCAGAGAAGGGACAGGCAGGCCAAGCAGAAGCAGGTCATCTTCAAGGGTGGGGCCTGGGGAGGGGTCTGGCAGGGGTGCCTGAGGCACGCAGGGGTTCAGCAGGGCCTCAGAACCCTCTCAGTGAGTCGGCAGAGCCCACAGGGGCCACACAGAGCCACTCTGGCCCACAGGTTAGGGGTTCCCCAAGTTCTCCCCACCCTACTTCCCCTGAGAGCCACTCGAGACACACCCAGGGGCATCGCCCCAGCCCACAAACCAAGTCCCTGCAGGTCCTGGGGATGTCCCCAGGGCCCCGCCCCACCAACCTCAGTCCCCAGCAGGGTCCGCTCCCACCTGGCCACCAAGCACTTTGGGGAGGGTCTCCAGGCTGAGTGCTAGGAGGGAGAGGAAGGGTCCCCGTGTGGCTCCTCCTGGGCGGGATGAAGCGCACCCTGGGGTCAGAATCCCAGCTCTGCCACAGGCCAGCTCCCCGCTCCTGCTGGTCTCTCCGGCCCTCGACTTTCCACAGCACTTCACCTGCCTGGCATCGGCACTGGCCGCCTCCACCCATTCCTGAGGCCCCTGAGGTCCCTTCTGTTCTTGCACTGGGTCCTCCTCTTCCATCCCAGCAAGAGCAGGAACTGTGGCCTGTGGCTGCACACCTGTGTCCCCACCCACTACTGGGCCCCTGCTAGAGGAAGGGGCCACGCGGAGCTGAGCCCCGGGGTCTCTGCGCTCCAGTCTCGGGAGCTCAGCACGACAGCTGAGGCGCAGGGTGCTCAGCGTGTTAGGGTCTCGAGTTGAACGGTCTCCTTTTCTCCTCACAGGAACCCCTCTCCCCAGGCCGCAGATGAGGACAGGTGCAGAGGGCTGGTACCTGCCCCGGGTCACGGAGGCAGACCGCAGCAGCGCCAAGATTCGAGCCAAGCCAGCAGCCAAGGCAGGCAGGGCGGCCTGAGTCTGAGCCTGGCTCGGCCACTTGTCGGGGCTTTGTCGGGATCCTCACCTGTGAAATGGGCACAGGGAGTGCGCTGCCTCAGAGGGTTGCTGAGAGGATCAAACGAGCCCTTGCGGAAGGTGTAAGGTGCCGGGCACCGGACGCATCACCACCCCCGGGAACCGCACCCACCGGCCTGCTTGCTCGGCGCCCCCTGCAGGCCACGTGGGTGCCCAGGACACAGGTGCCCTGAGCTCCAGGCACACAAGCCCGATGCTCTAAAGCCACAGGCAGCAGCACCTTTTCTGAGTCAGAAACCCTGGCAGGACTGGGCCTCGCAACCCCTCCAGGTGGCTCAGCTGCACGCTCAGTTCCAGACCCTGGGCCAGCAGCAGCAGCAGCAAGACCCAGTCAACTGATAAAATGCAGGGTCTCGAGCTCCAGGCCAGGCCTGCCGGGTCGAGCCTGCATCTGAGTGAGACACGCAGGTGACTAGCGCGCAGGTGGCTGGGGCCGGGGCAGCCTGCCCCTCTGGGACTTTCAGCCTCCAGCTGAGCGGCACCAGCCAAACCAGGTCAGGGCCCTCGTCTGTGGGCACGGTCTTCCAGGGACTTCTCACAGACACTGCCCGGCTCCCCCCAGACTCTGATTTACCTGGTCTAGGGGGCAGCCAGGCACGGGCATTTTCCCAGAGTTTCCAGGGGCAATGGGAGCAGGAAGCACAGGCAGCCCCTGCGCAGAGCCCGGGAAGCCCCGGGCCAGGCAGAGACGGGCTGGGTGGGTCCGCTTTCCCGCCCAGCGTCTGCGGGACCCTCACCTCTGCCCCAAGTTCAGCTGGGCTGGCCTGGATGAAGCAGCAGCCCCTTTGCGGGAAGTGGGGGACAGGCTGGCACCCAGCCAGCCTCCTCTTGACTCCCTGCAGCTCCTCCCCTGTTCAGGCAGGAAGGCAGGCACCTTCTAATTATAGACTTAACTCAGAGAGAACGTGCGCACAGCGAGGGGGTGAGAGTGACTCACTGTCTCCCAGAAGACGGGCCTCACCACCTCCTGCCTCCCACGCAGGGCCGCTGGGAGTGGGGGCAGGTCCGGGCCGCTGGGCAGAGAGGGGCCCGGAGGTGCAGCAGCCAGGTGAGAAGGCCACACCCCACCCTGCACGGCTGGAGCGGCACTGTGGGTGGCCGCGGGTGCTGGGAGGCTGCCTGGCGGAGGCGGAGGCCCTGTGCCACGTGCCAGCCTGGGGGGCTGGCCAGAGGGGAGGTGGGCAAAGCAGCGAGGCACAGGGCTTCCTGCGCTGCACTGCTGCCCTCTCCCCAGGCGCCACTCTGCCCGACCGCGGCTGTCCTGGCCCTCCAGGCTCAGCCTGAGGGGCCCCACCTGGCACTCCTGCTACTGTCCCTAAAGCAGCTGGCCCTTGTGGTCCAGCACAGGTGGTAGTGCCCGGGGAAGCCCCCACGCAGCCCCAGCGGCTCATGCCCTGTCTGCCCTCACGCCCGAGTCCTTTCTCTCGGCTGCAGGCCCTGGGCGGGCACCGCCATGGAGTAAGGAGACACGTTCTCTGCCGCCACGTCCGAGGGGCAGCCACTGAGCTGCTCCGAGCCTCTGTCTCCTCAGCTGTAAATTGGGTGTAGAGTTTCTTGTC